TGGCCTCCTCCTCCTCCTCCTCCTCCTCCTCCCCTCCACCCGCCTCCTCCTCACGACTCCTCCTCTTTCTCATCTTCCTTGTCCTCTTCCTGCTCCTCCTCCTTCGCCTCCCCTCCTCCACTTTCTCGTCCTCGTCCTCCTCCTCCTCCTCCTCCTCTTCCTCCAAACTCCTTCTCCTCATCCTCGCTCCCTCGTCTTTATTATTCTTCTCCTGTTTCACCTCTTCCTCCTCCTCCTGCTCCTCCACCTCTTCCCCTTCCTCTTCTCCTCCTCCTCTTCCCCTTCCTCTTCTTCCTCCTCCTCCTCCTCCTCCTCCTCTCTCCTCCTCCTCTCTCCTCCTCCTCCTCCTCCTACCTCCTCCTCCTCCTCCTCCTCCTCCTCCTCCTCCTCCCTTCTCCTCCCGTCTACTCCTTCGCCTCCTCCTCCTCCTCCTCCTCCACTCCTCCACTTCCTCGTTCGTCTCCGTCTCCTCCAAACTCCTCCTCCTCCTCATCCTTCTCCTCCCTTCTTCTCGTCCCTTCTCCTCCTCCTCCCTCCTCTCTCCCGCCCCCTCCGCCTCCAAGACTTGGCGCGCGGCCGATCTGGCCCATCGGCGCTCAATAGTTCCCGAGTCCTCGTCTCCGCTGCCTCCCTGCCCTGGGAGAGCCGCGGACGAAAGATTCGTGCGGATTTCCTGCGTCGGGCTTGTACCCCCCCTCCCTACTCAGGAGAGAACACAGACACACATCCAGCTGCACGTCGATTCTCAGCAAAACATCGAGAACTGTGGGAAGTGGAGGGGGAGACGAGAGCCCAGAGCATCTGGGGAGCCAGTCGGGAATCCTGGATTCTCTGTGTCTATCTGTTTGTCTCTCCCTGGCCTTCCCTCCTGGCGCCCCTTCCCGGCGCGCGGAGCGCGCCATGGGGCGGCTGTCCGAGGGGCGGCGCCGGCCGGGCGGGGCCGGAGAGGCGTCGCCCGGGGGAGTGGGGAGGGGCGCCCAGCTCCATGCCCAGACCCCCCCAGGAGAAGGGAGGAGGAGGAGGAGGAGGAGGAGGAGGAGGAGGAGGAGGAGGAGGAGGAGGAGGAGGAGGAGGAGGAGGAGGAGGAGGAGGACGAGGTGGAGGAGGAGGAGGAGGAGGAGGAGCAGGCAGGGGCGGGGGGGCAAACAGGCACCAACATACCCAGAACCCCTCGGGTCATGAGCAAAATCACTACGGGAGGTTTTTCGCTGCTCTCGGCCTCCGGGGGCCCTTCCCGGGCCTCGGGACCGTAAAATATTCACTCAGGATGACGAACCGGTCCTGGGGAAAGGGTCCAGACCTTTGGGTGGTGACGTTGTGAACAAATCACAACGTCGGGGGGCTGGGTTCCGAGAGACCCGCGCGGACCTCCCCAAGTTCATTTTTTGTTACTCTATGCCCTTCTCTCGCCCTCCCTCCCCTTCCTCTCGTCGGCCCCTGGGGATCTGTGAGCGGAGGCCACTACAAGAGGGCGCCATCGTGGAGCTGAGAGGGCTGAAGGAGAACCATGAGTTCAACGGGCGTAGAGGTCGTGGCCGCTGGGATCTCCCGGGACAGTCCTCATCCTGACGCTCCCTTCCAGCCTCCTTCTCGTCGTCCCACCCATGCTTCGCGCTCCCCTTCGGTCCCTTTTCCAGTTTCCCCTCTTTTCTCTATCCTCCGTCCTCCATCTTCCTTCCTCCCGCATTCTTCCCTCCCTACCCCACAATCGTCCTCCTCCGCCTCTGTCTCCTCAGACTCCTCCCTCCCTCCTCCCCCACATCTGCCCTCCTCTGCTCCTCCCTCCTGATCAGTTATCCTCCTCCATTCTCCTGCTCTCTCTCCTCCTGATTCTACAGGCTTGCGCCACATCCGCCGACCCCTTTCTGTGAGTTTTGCGAGGCCAGGAGTTTCTGGCCAGCGGCGTCTTGTGTGAGGGTGCGGTGTCGCGCGCGGGTGGTGGCAGATACGTAGGGTCCAAATGTTTGCGTGATGCCGGTGGTCTGGGGCGTGTTCTGCGAGCGCCTTGCGTGCTGTGCACCCGGGTGCGGGGTGTCCTTCTGGGAGGTCGGCCTTTCGACCCGCAACCAAGTGGAGGACCACCGGAAAACGAAAGGAGCAATAATAGTGTGCGGAAGCTGTGATCGGCGAGGCATCACCGCGAAAGACGAGGCAGATGAGTCGGAACGGGTGAAGAGGCTGTTGACGTTCGCAGCGCGCACGGAACAGTTTGCGCGGCAGCAACACATGAGCGCCGAACAAGATTTTGAGCACGTCGCGAGGAAGAGCAAGGCTGTATGCGCGGAGTGCATTGCAGTAGGCTTGACGGCTCGCAATATGGAAGCGTCTGGGGGTCTTTTGGGGGCCTCCTGGGTGCCTCTTGGGGGCTCCTTGGGGCGTCTTGGCGGCCTCTTGGGGCACTCTTGGGCCTCCCTGGGGCTCGTGGGGGTGGAAAGCTAGATTTTGGAATTTTCGGTTGCCCTCTTGGTCCCCCAGTGGTGCCGTCTTGTAGCCTTCTTGGGCCGTCTTGGGGGCCTCTTGGGCCGTCTTGGGGCCATCTTGGACCGTCGTGGGGCCGTCTTGGGGGCCTCTTGGACCGTCGTGGGGCGGTCTTCGGGGCCTCTTGGGCCGTCTTGGAACGTCGGAAAGCCCGCGAGGCGAATTTGTGAAAAGCGTACGTTTTAGAAAGGAAATGAGCAAACTTCTGCGTCTAGGGACCCTCTTGGGGCGCATCTTGGAGGCCTCTTGGGGGCGTTTTGGGTCATCTGGAGGCCATCTCGGGTGTCTTCGATCGTTCGATCGCTCTTGGACCGTGTGGGACCATGCTGAGCTCTCTTGGAAACCATTTGGAACACTCCTGGAGCGCTCTTGGGGCCGTCTTCGGGGCTCTCTTGGGCCGTCTTCGGCGCCTCTGGAGCCGTCTTGGCGCCCTCTTGGGCTGTCTTGGGGCCCTCTTGGAGGCTTCTTGGACCGTTTTGGGGCGGTCTTGGGGGCCTCTTGGGCCGTCTGGGAGCGTCGGAAAACCCAAAAGGCGAGTTTGTGAAACATACACGTTTTACGAAGGGAACGGGCCAATTTGTGCGTCTAGAGGCCCTCTTGGGGCGCATCTTGGATGCCTTTTGGGGCCTCTTGGGGGCATCCTGGGCCGTCTGGAGGCCATCTTCGGTGTCTTTGATCGCTCTTGGACCGTCTGGGACCACATGGAGCTCTCTTGGAGGCCACTTGGAGCGCTCCTGGAGCGCTCTTTGGGCCGTCATCGGGGCCCTCTTGGGTCGTTTTGGACGCCTGTTGGGCCGTCTTGGGGCCCTCTTGGGCTATCTTGGGGCCCTCTTGGAGGCTTCTTGCGCCGTCTTGGGGCGGTCTTGGGGGCCTCTTAGGCCGTCTGGGAGCATCGAAGCCCAGGAGGCGAATTTGTAAAAATTGTACGTTTTACGAAGGGACCGGGCACATTTTTGCGTTTATGGACCCTCTTGGGGCGCATCTTGGAGGCTTCTTGGGGTCTCGTGGGGACCTCTTGGGCCGTCTAGGAGGCCTCTAAACCCGTCTTTGGGCCATCTTGGGCGTCTTGGAGCGCTCGTTTGGCGTCTCGGGGCCCTCGTGGGCCGTCTTGGAACCCTCTTGGGGCCTTCTTGGCCCATCTTTAAGCCCTCTTGGGCCCGGAAGAGCCCGTGGTGCGCTCGTCGGGGGCCCCCCCCCTCCAAATCGACCGGACCGGGCTCCGGGGGAGGGGTTTGGGGAGGGGGGGACATCTCACACGCCGATGGTCCCCAAGGGGTCGGCGGATTTCCCTCTCCACCTGGGGAGGCGGGAGGGAAGGTGATGAGGGAGGGTAGGGTGAGGGAGGGAGGGAGGTAGGTAGGAGGGAGGGAGGGACCAGTAAGGAGGGATGGAGGGAGGGATGAGGGCGACGAGGGCCGCGGGACAGGGGGGACGGTTCGCCCCGCCCACACGCCATTCTGCTTTGATGTTGCACGGCATGAGGTGACTAGCAGCGGCACTGAGGCGTTTGCGAGCGTGCATTCTGATCAGTGGGCTCTTGCACTCTCGCTGTGCATTGTGTATCGGGTGCAACCTGCTGCACGCAGTATGCATGCATGTATATGAAAATACAGATACACACGGTTGTGCTGTTGTATAGTTTCAGGCGGTGCAGTGTTTGGGATGTGTTCGATGTCGTGCAGTCCCAGGCGGCGGTCGGCGACGAGGCGGCGACGGGGCGGCGACGGCGGCGACATAGCCGTTGGAGCGGCAGACAGGCCCAGGCGACGGGCGGCGACGAAGCGGCGTCGGCGGCAACATAGCCGCCAGAGCGGCAGACAGGCCCAGTTCCTCATATTAGAAGTCAGAGCCCCTACATGCAAACATTGTTTGGGTAATTTACACGTTAACCATCAATGCGTCGTTGCATTGTGGCCTCTCCAGGTTCCTTGTTCTTATTGTTGTTTCGGTGTCTTACCTGATTCTCGCTATCCTCTTGCTCATCCTCATAGTCTTTCTGCTCTGCCTCCTGTCTCTACTTCTCCTGCTCCTCATCCTCCTCATCCTTCCTCCTCGTCTTCTCTGGAGTTTCTACCCTTTTCGCCGCCATTCCTATGCACCGCCTTCCCTATTCCCTTGCGACACACCAGGCACCGTGCGCTCCGCGGGCTACCTTGATGGCCAGGGGTACACGGTGCGGCTGGACGACGGTACTCAGCACACCGTCGATTGCAGGAGCCCTTCCACCCCGCGGAGGGATGTCGGCTTTGCTCCCTCTCGCCCCTATGATCATCCGTCCTCATCCTCTGGTCTTCCCGTCTCCTTCCCGTCTTCTTCCCGTCTCCTCTATCTTCTCCCTCCCACAGCCAGAAAATGCGTGTTGATATCCGTCGCTTCCGAGGCGTGCCCTCAGATCTCAAGGACCTCTCGAGGAGTGCTGGAGGCGGCTGTTCGCCCACCCTTGAGGGCGGGCGTGGGCATCCGCATTCACCTTTTTTCCCGAGGGGCCCAGGACATGACTTCAGCAGCTGTGGATGTGGGTT